CGGCAGCGCGCCGCTCCTCACTCCTCCGAGTTTCCTCCGACCACTGCTCCTCTGCAGACTCTCCACCTGGACGTGTGGGGCCCGGCCCCAGTCGGTGGGACGGGCCTGGAGCGCTACTTCCTGCTGGTTGTTGACGACTACACACGCTACACCACAGTCTTCCCCTTGCGTCGCAAGGCGGACGTCACCGGTGTTTTGATCCCCTGGATCCGTGCTGCTCGTCTCCAGCTGCACGAGCGCTTTCAGCAGGACTTCCCACGCCTGCGTCTGCACTCTGACAGGGGTGGTGAGTTCTCCTCTGGCGTCCTTGAGACGTTCTGCTAGGATGAGGGCATCCGCCAGTCGTTCACGCTTCCGGCCTCTCCGCAGCAAAATGGGATCGCTCAGCGTCGCATTGGCCTGATCATGGAGGTTGCTCGTACCTCCATGATCCATGCAGCTGCTCCCCATTTCCTGTGGCCGTTTGCGGTCCGATATGCCGCGCATCAGCTCAACCTCTGGCCCCGTGTCTCTGCTCCAGAGACCTCGCCCACACTCCGTTGGACAGGACAGCCTGGTGATGCGTCGTCTTTTCGGGTCTGGGGCGCGCTCTCCCTTGTTCGCGATACCAAAGCGAGCAAGCTCTCTCCTCGCACTCTCCGCTGTATCTTCCTGGGCTTCCCCACCGACGCTCCACCCTGGCAGTTCTACCACCCTGCCTCGCGTCGTGTTCTGTCCTCTCAGGACGTCACCTTCGACGAGTCGGTCTGTTACTACCGACTTCACCCACACGCGTCCCACCCGGTCCCCCTCGCACCTCTCTTCCTGGTACCAGTCCCCCCCCCGGTAGACCCCCTTCCCCCACAGGGTCCTGCTCCCTCAGGTGTGTCCCAGGTAGACCCACCCCCCTTGGATGAGCCAGTTGAGATCTCTTCTGACTCCTCTGACTCAGCTGAGGGGGGTGACGCTGTCGCCGACGACACGGCGACCACTCGCCACACTCCTCGCTTGGAGACCCCCCTGGGTTTCCCGCCTCGGCCGTCTTCGCCACCTCCGCAGCCTGCTGCTGTGGACTCTGGAGCTGAGGCTGCTGGAGCTGGGCCTGGAAGTGGTACGTCTGGGGGTGACTGCTCTCCTCGTTTGGCTACCCCCCCTGGTTTCCCGCCTCTGCAGCCTTCTGCAGTGGACACATGAGCTGGGACTGAGCATACTGAGCCTGCGGGTGCTGGGACTGAGCATACTGAGCCTGCGGGTGCTGGGACTGAGGGCACTGAGCCTGCGGGTGCTGGGACTGAGGGTATTGAGCCTGAGGGTACTGAGCCTGGGGGTACTGAGACTTTGGGTGCTGACTCTGGGGGTGCTGAGACTTCGGGTGCTGACTCTAGGGGTGCTGCGAGTCCTTCTGGAGGTACTGGAGCTGGAGGTACTGGAGCTACTAGGCCTGGAGGTACTACTGGAGGTACTGGAGCTGGGGGTACTAGAGGTGCGTCTGGTGCTGGAGGTGCTAGAGCTACCACTACTGGAGGTACTGGAGCTGGACAGCCACCGCAGCCTGCTCTACTTGAGACTCTCTCGCCGCAGGCGATTCGTGCGTGGGTCGTTCGGCGAGGCAGTCCTGGTGGTGGAGGGTACGGTCCGGCTGGTGCTGGAGCTACTAGTCTAGGAGGTGCTGCTGGTGCTGGAGGTGCTGGAGGTACTACTGGAGGTACTAGAGGTACTGCACGTGCTGGAGGTGCTGCTGGTGCTGGGGGTACTGGAGCTGCTGCTGGTGCTGGAGGTGCTGGAGGTGCTGACCCTGGAGGTGCTGGTGCTGGAGGTACTGGAGGTGCTGGAGCTACTGGTCCCGGAGGTGCTCGTACTGGAGGTGCTGGAGCTGCCGGAGCAGGTGGTGCTGCTGGTGCTGGAGGTGCTGGAGGTGCTACTGGAGCTGCTGGCACGGGAGGTACTGGAGGTACTACTGGTGCAGGAGGCGCTGGAGCTGGAGCTGGAGGCACTGGAGGTGCTGGAGGTACTACGGGTGCTCAAGGTGCTGGCGCTGTCGGAGCTCGTGGTGCTGGAGGTGTTGGTGCTACTGGTGCTGGAGGTGTTGCTGGGGGTACTGGAGGAGCTGCTCGTGCTGGATGTACGGGAGCTACTGGTGCTCTTCGCCACCTTCTCAGTCTTCCGCCAGGTGCTACTGGCTTCCCTTTGGCAGGTACTACTCCTCCGTTGCTGTGTCCACCGGCAGACCAGTCACAGCCACCGCTGCTACCACACTCCCCACTGCCTGCTCCTGCTCCTTACACTGCGGTGTCAGAGTCCCTGACTGAGCGTCGAGAGCCTGAGACTCGTGCTTCCACCCCTGAGCGTCGAGAGCCTGAGTCTAGCTTTGACCTTGAGCCTGAGCCTAGAGCTGCTGTCCGTGCTCGTGTTCCTCGTGTTCGTCGTCCGCGTGCTCCGGCTGTCCCCGGCACTCACGATATGACACTCCGTCCTTCCTCTGTTCCTCAGCGTGTTGTACTACCGTTACCTCCCGCGTCCTCTCTGCCTGACGTTGCTGACCCTCCGTCTGGCCTTGCTCGTGCGTCCAGTCCGACTGTTACTCGCCTTCTTGCTACGGTTGTGACGGACCCTACGTTCTCGTCTCCTGCTGCGTCTGCCCTAGTAGCTGAGCTCGTTGACTTTGCTGCTGTGTACCGCCTCGACTGCCTTGCGAGTCTTGTCTCTGACCCTGTCCCTGCCTGTCCTCCGTCCGTCGGGGGTGAGACTGCTCTTGGCTGTACTGCCCTTGGCTGTGACGTTCTTGAGGACAGACAGGAGGAGCTGGAGTGCCTTGCTGCCGCTTCACCCCATCACGCGACCATGCTGCTTGCCCCTGAGGGAGACCCGGATGCACTTGACATCCCCACCCCGCGCTCCTATAGGGAGGCGATTTCGGGTGAGTACTCCTCTCAGTGGCAGACAGCCATGGACGCAGAGATGGCTTCCTGGAAGTCCACAGGCACCTACGTCGACAAGGTTCCCCCACCTGGGGCGAACATCGTCAGTGGCATGTGGATTTTCAGGGTGAAGCGGCCGCCGGGTTCTCCGCCTGCCTTCAAGGCACGTTACGTTGCTCGAGGCTTTAGTCAGCGTGAGGGGGTCGACTTCTTTCATACCTTCTCCCCCACCCCGAAGATGACCACTCTTTGGGTGTTGCTACACGTTGGAGCTCAGCGTGACTACGAGCTGCACTCCCTCGACTTCTCGACAGCTTTCTTGCAGGGTAGCCTTCACGAGGCCATCTGGTTGCGCCGTCCACAGGGCTTCACTGGGTCGTTTCCTGAGGGTACCCAGTGGAGCCTACGGCGACCAGTGTACGGCCTGCGTCAGGCGCCCCGCGAGTGGCACGACACACTGAGGACGACACTTGCGGCTCTTGGGTTTGCTCCTTCGACTGCTGACCCGACGCTGTTTCTACGCACCGACACTACTCTGCCGCCGTTCTACATCCTCGTGTACGTCGACAACTTGGTTTTTGCTACTGCTGACACTGAGGCACTGGCCCTAGTGAAGGCGGAGCTGCAGGAGAGACACACCTGCACTGACCTGGGTGAGCTGCGGAGCTATCTTGGCTTGCAGATCACCCGGGACAGACCACGGCGCACCAGCACCCTCACTCAGTCACACATGGTGCACCAGGTCCTTCAGCGCTTCCGCTTCACGTACTCCTCGCCACAGCCCACTCCTCTGACTACCGGCCACTCGCTCTCAGCTCCACCTTCGGACGAGTCCGTAGAGCCGAGTGGTCCGTACCCAGAGCTTGTGGGTTGCCTCATGTACCTGATGACGTGCACAGGACCTGACCTCGCGTACCCTCTCAGCCTTCTGGCTCGCTACGTGGCACCCGGTAGACACCGAAAGGTGCACTTTGATGTTACGAAGAGGGTACTGCGTTACTTGTGCAGCACATCGGGCATGGGGCTCGTGCTTGGAGGACGGGGTTCGGTGGTCCTCACAGGACACTCTGACGCTTCTTGGGCCGACGACCAGGCGACTCAGCGTTCGTCACAGGGTTACACCTTTAGTCTTGGCTCTGGTTCTGTCTCGTGGAGGTCCACTCGTTCTTCTTCTCTGCTTGGTTCCATCTGTGAGGCCGAGATCTACGCTGGGGCCATGGCTGCACAAGAGCTACGCTGGCTGACCTACCTGCTGACCGACTTGGGGGAGCGGCCTCGTTCTCCTCCAGTTCTGTACGTCGACAACAAGGCAATGCTTGCCTTGTGTCGCGAGCAGAGACTGGAGCACAGAACGAAGCACATTGCTCTTCGCTACTTCCTTGCGCGTGAGTTGCAGCAGCGTCGTCAGCTGCGCCTTACTTACGTGGCCTCTCGGGCCAACACTGCTGATGTTTTCACCAAGGCCCTTGGGTCTGGTGATCATCAGCGTTTTTGCACTGCTCTTGGGCTTGTGCCCACTCTGCCTCACCTGCTGGTTGCTTGACTTGCTCTTGTTGTACACTGATATATATCTTTATACCTGCTTGTTTACTCTTGCTAGGTTGTGATCAGTGTACTGCCTTGCTATCATAACTCTGCATGTGAACTGGCCTTGTGGCCGCTTGCTTGTGCTCAGATTGTGTGGTGTCCTTGAGATCCACCCTGAGCTTTGCTTTGCTTTGCTTGTTCTCTTGCTTGACTGGTCTTGTGACCGTCTGTTGTGTTTGCTATCTCCCACTTAGCCTATGGGGGTGTGTCAAACTGTATGTTTGTGTTATCTCTAGGCTATAGTGGGTTAGCCTACAAGGGGTACAACAATTTAGGGTTAGGTACTTGTACTCATGCATGCTACCTAGTCCACCATTCATTCCTGCTTATTCTAACACGTGCAATTCCCGCCAGCGCACCTTCCCCCCAGGTCCAAAACTCTTTCCCCACAACTCCTTCTCCTCCAAACACCTTACGGGCTTTTAGAGGTGCACCGTCTATCCTGTTCCATTCAATCCTCCTCGCTATGCACCCTATCCTTTCAGATCTAGATCTACGTAACCCCGCGCCGCCAGCATGGCTCGTAAGCGTAAGGGCCTGTCCCTTAACGACTGCCCCAAGGATCTTAATGACATCCCGTACATCCGCTGGATGAACCAGCAGATCGCCAACGGCCGTCATCCGACAGGCTTGTCCGCGCCGCCCGCGCTTGACGGGCAGGGTTCTAGTGCACAGTCGCCCAGCGCGGGCCCGTCACGTGTGCGACGTCAGCCTGCAAGGACGGCGACAACAATGCGGCCCGTTGCGGAGCAAGATGTCGACGACGATGATGAGGAGTACCGCGGCGACGCTGACGGCACCGAAGACGAGGAGGACGAGCCGGAAGACCTTGGGATGTCGAACGACGACGACGGCGACGATGACGACGCCGACGACGACGCGGAGGAGGAAGCGCAACCTGCGGCACAGCCGCCGAAACGGAGCGCCGCACGCGCTTCTGGGACGGACAAAGGCAAAGGCAAGGCGGTTGCACCACCGCCACGCCAGGAGTCCCGGAAGAAGCGGTCAGCTGCACCAGTCGAGAGGGGCTTATGGTCGGACAAGGAGAGCACTATCTTCGCCGCGGCGCGTTGGTTCACCAAAGACGAGCTCGAGCCTCTCAAGGGGAAGCAGGGGACGCAATACTGGGTCCGCCTTCTCACGCACATCAAGGAGTCGAACCCGGGCTGGTGCAGGAATGTCAACGCGTTGCAAAAGCAGTGGCGCTGCTTGGTGCTGCTTTGGCGGGAGTACAAGCGTGGTGATGGTGGTTCGGGCAACGGTTCTGTGGAGAAACCACCATGGTGGCCGTATCTGGAGCTGTACAACAAGGACACCGCCGCAGCCGCACCGCATGCGGTGGACGGCGGCGGCGCCACTAACGTCAACGTGCCGGCCGGCATGGAGGTCCCAAGTTCCTCTCAGCCTGAGACGTCGACACCGACCTTTACAGGTGAGCTGTGCTTCTTTTACCGCATGCGCGTTTCGCATTCATTTAGTGGATGTTCAATAACGGCCACGCGTATGTGACAAGCAAATATTGCGGAAACAACATACAACCGTAAACGTACTAATCTACCCTGCAATTTTTTTTGCACTTCTGTCACAGCACCGCCGCCGCAGACCACTGCAACACCCAAGCGCGCGGGTTCATGAGACGGCTACTATGCAAGCCGCCAAGCTTGTCTCCGCGACCATCAAAGATTGTCACGGTGACGCGATGACGCGCATTGAGGGTCTCGTCCGTGAATGGATGGCGCAGGACATGCGCCTTGCCCGCGAGCGCATGACTGAATCAGCCCCACCGGATGTGCACTGTGCGCCGACGGATTTCAGCCCTACGTCGACGGATTTCAGCCCTCCTCCGCCACGCGGGGAGTCCGCGCCACCTCCCGAAGCCGCCCAGCAGCGCGACGATGTTGGCGACGTCAACACCGTCACTCCGGGTGATGACGATGTGGAGATATGGGTGCGCGGCACCGACGATTAGCGTAAGAGTGTTGCAGAGCTTCACCCAGACTTTTCCGTCTCTCTCTCAGAGCCTGCTGTGTCGCAGGAACACACGGTTCCCACTTGTGGTCCGCGATAGCACCCCGTGTCCACCATGGGTCGCGGTTGCGGGGCAGATTGTACCAGGCCATGTTCGTGCGCCTAACCTCTGCCATGTCTTCGCACATGTTGTGCAGGATCACACAACACGCGGCCCCTGCAAGAATGCGCCATAACCTGCAGTCGTTGCGCCCGCTGAAGATGCGCCATCTCCCTTTGAATGCGCCGATGCACCTCTCCACCGCCATGCGCGTAGCGCTCTGGCAGCAGTTGAAACATTGGGCCCAATCGTCCATTAGGTCCTCTCCGCGCGGTGCATGCAGTGGGGTTAGGCAGTATTCTCTGAGCGGGTATGCCGCATCCCCAACAATCTGGTATGGGGTTATGTCCCCATTTTGTAACCTTTCCAGTAGTGCAGAGTCTTTGAAAACACGCATGTCGTGCGCGCTGCCGGGATAACCGATGAGGTAATCCCATATTCTTCCTCGAGCATCACACGTGATTTGGAGCTGTACAGCGTAGGCCGACTTTCTTGTCCAATACTCGGACCGGTGCCCTTCCATCCCTTTCATGTGGATGTGAGTCCCGTCTACAGCCCCCACCACTGCAGGTACACCTTTGACGGCATCAAATTCTCTCGCCATCTCCGGAAGTTCTTCGCGTGTAGGGAAGCGCACCCAGGCTGCCTTGAACAAGGCGGGGAACTCGGTGAGGAACACGTCGACGAGCTCGTGGCAGAGTGTCTTGGAGACACCGAAAAGGTACGACATGTCGACGTAGGAGATCCCGCTAGCCATATATTTTATTGGGATGAGCAACGCAGTGTCCATTGTGATCATTGACCGATAAACGACCGGTTCAAGATATTGGCGCATCCCTGTCTTGATATGCTCAAGGATCATGCGATTGATTCTGAAGATGTCCTGGAAGTCGTTCTCCCGCATATGCTGCAGGTCGTCAACCCACAGCGCATGGCGTTGCCGCCGTACTCTCGCCCTGTGACGGCGGTTCTCCCCGGTATCGTCCCCAAGAGATGACGACTGCTCGTCCGCGTCTTCGAACACACCGGCCTCAATCATGCCGACGAAGGACTTGGCTACATTTTCGTAAAAGATGGTGTAGTAATAGGTGACCCATGTGACGAGTAGGCGTAGGAGGAAGGAATGGCCCTAGGCTCCGCCATTTTGCGTAAAACATGCGTGTGTAGTGGTGGTGGTTGTGCTTTGTTTGCTTTATCAAGCCCTTGTATGTGATGTCGTGCTCTATAGCTTGTACCTATCGTTGTGGCAATTGTTGGAGGCGCGGAGGAGTACATAACCCTCCGCGGCCTCCCCAGACACCACCAAGGATCTATTGCGTGCCTGGCAGTGTTGGTGCGTGTGACGCGCAAGATGAGTGGGCCACCTAATGGTCTGACGAATCAGAACCGTTCGCATATAATTGTCGCGCGTCTGTGTGTCAGAATCAAGCAGCAGGAATGGATGAACTATGAAAGAGTTGGGTACAAGTATGAAACCCTAAAAGGGGCTGTACCCCATATTGGCTACCCCACTACAGCCTACACATATATAACATGCATATACTTTGACACACCCCCATAGGCAAAGTGGGGGAGAGCAAGGGGTCACAAGACCAGTCAAGAGAAGCAAAGCAAGCTCATGGTGGATCACAACGTCACCACACACACTGAGCACAAGCAGAGGGCCACAAGGCCAGTTCACATGCAGAGGTATATATGCAACAACAACAGCACAGTGATCTCTACCTAGCAGAGCAAGCATGCAGGTATATATATAGATCACAGTACAGGCAAAGTCTACAGCAAGTGAGGAAACGTAGGCACAAGGCCTAACAGAGTGCAGAAACGCTGATGATCACCAGACGGAAGCGCCTTGGTGAATGTATCAGCAGTGTTGGCCCGAGTGGCCACGTGAGCAAGACGAAGCTGACCACGCTGCTGCAACTCTCGAGCCAGGAAGTAACGCAGAGCGATGTGCTTCGTTCTGTGCTCCAGTCTGTGCTCCTGACACAAGGCAATGGCAGCCTTGTTGTCGACGTACAGCACTGGAGGAGAACGAGGCCTCTCTCCCAAGTCGGTCAGCAGGTAGGTGAGCCAGCGTAACTCCTGTGCAGCCATGGCTGTGGCGTAGATCTCAGCCTCACAACTGGAGCTGAGAACTGAAGACGAGCGTGTAGAACGCCAAGAAACCGAACCAGAGCCAAGGCTGAAGGTGTAACCCTGTGACGACCGCTGCGTAGCCTGGTCGTCAACCCAAGAAGCGTCTGAGTGCCCAGTGAGGACAACTGGGCTCCGCCCTCCAAGCACGAGCCCCATGCCCGATGTACTGCACAAGTAGCGTAGTACCCTCTTAGCAGCATCCATGTGCACCTTTTGGTGCCGACCAGGAGCCACGTAGCGAGCCAGAAGGCCAAGAGGGTACGCAAGGTCAGGACGAGTGCAGGTCATTAGGTACATGAGGCAGCCCACTAGCTCTGGGTAAGGACCACTCGGCTCTACGGACTCGTCCGAAGGTGGAGCTGAGAGCGAGTGACCTGTAACCAGAGGAGTGTGCTGTGCCGAGGTCCAGGTGAAGCCGAAGCGCTGAAGGACCTGCTGCACCATGTGTGACTGAGTCTGTGTGATGGTGCGGCGTGCTCTGTCCCGGGTGATCCGCAAGCCAAGATAGCTTGTCAGCTCACCCTGGTCTGTGCACGTGTGTCTCTTCTGCAGCTCCGACTTCACCTGGGCGAGAGCCTCAGTGTCAGCAGTGGCAAAGACCAAGTCGTCGACGTACACGAGGATGTAGAACGGCGGCAGCGAAGTGTCGGTGCTGAGAAACAGCGACGGGTCAGCAGTCGACGGAGCAAACCCAAGAGCCGCAAGTGTCGTCCTCAGTGTGTCGTGCCACTCACGTGGCGCCTGGCGGAGACCGTAGACCGGCCGTCTGAGGCTCCACTGGGTACCAGGAGGGAACGACCCAGTGAAGCCAGGTGGGCGGCGCAGCCAGATCTCCTCGTGCAGGCTGCCCTGTAAGAAGGCTGTGCTGAAGTCAAGAGAGTGAAGCTCGTAGTCTCGCTGAGCGGCAACGTGCAGCAGCACCCGAAGAGTGGTCATCTTCGGGGTGGGGGAGAAGGTCTAGAAGAAGTCTACTCCCTCTCGCTGACTGAAACCTCGTGCAACGTAACGCGCCTTGAAGGCAGGCGGAGAACCTGGCGGCCGCTTCACCCTGAAAATCCACATGCCACTGACGATGTTCGCCCCAGGTGGGGGAACCTCGTCGACGTAGGTGCCTGTGGACTTCCAGGATGCCATATCTGCATCCATGGCTGTCTGCCACTGAGAGGAGTACTCACCCGCGATCGCCTCAGCGTAAGAGCGCGGGGTCGGGATGTCTGGAGCATCCGGGTCTCCCTCAGGGGCAAGCAGCATGGACACGAGATGAGGCGCAGCGGCTGCAAGACACTCAAGGTCCTTCTGCCTGTCCTCAAGGACGTCCGTGCCAAGAGCACACTCACCCCCGACGGACGGAGGACAGACAGACTCAGACTCAGCAACAAGACTAGCGGCGTAGTCTAGACGACAGGCAACAGCAAAGTCAACAAGCTCAGCAACTAAGGCAGACGTAGCAGCAGACTCAAACGACGGGTCAGTGACAACAGTGGCTAGTAGACGCGTGACAGTAGGGTGCTTAGCACGAAACCGGTCAGACTCGGGGTCCGCAACGACAGGCAGAGAAGACGCAGGAGGGGACGGCAGAGGAACACGCTGTGAAGGAGAGGAAGGACGACGGACTACGAGGTGGGTGTCGGGGACAGCCGGCTGACGCGGACAAGGAACACGACGACCGGAACGACCAGAACAGACAGGCGAGACAGGACGCGACGCAGGCTCACGACGCTTAGTAAGACTCCCTAGCTGCTTAGTGTAAGGAGAAGGAGCAGGCAGCGGTGAGCCAGGCTGTAACGGAAGACCAGTAGACGAAGGGAGACTAAGAACCTGGCGAAGCACAGAGTCAGGCGGTGGCTGAGACGACGGAGACGGTGGAGCGAAGAACAGGCGCGGCTGTGCAGTGACACCAGCACCTTCAGCTCCAGTACCCCCAGCAGCTCCAGCACGTCCAGCAGCTCTAGAACCTCCAGCGCCAGCACCCTCAGCAGCTCCAGAACCTCCAGCTCCAGTGCCACCAGCGCCACTACCTCCTGCAGCTACAGAACCTCCAGCGCCAGCACCCTCAGCAGCTCCAGAACCTCCAGCTCCAGCGCCACCAGCGCCAGCACCTCCAGCAGCTCCAGAACCCTCAGCGCCAGCTCCTCCAGTACCAGCTCCACCAACAGCAGCACCCCCAGAACCGATACCTCCAGTCCCAGGGTCTCCAGCCTCAGTGCCTCCAGCAGCAGCACTCTCAGGCTCAGCACCTCCAGTCCCAGCAGCTCCAGTACCTCCAGTACGAGCACCTCCGGGACCAGCACCACTCCCAGCTCCAGTGACGTCAGCAGACGTACCTCGAGCGGCAGAGCCCCGAGCTCCAGAAGCGCGACCTTGACGGCGACCGTACAAGTCGTGCAGCTGCTGCGAGGTGAGAGGCACACGCGGACGAAGGCGGCTACTTCAAGGAAGCCGCGCAACAGCAGACTCAGAACCCTCAGCGCCAGAACCCGCAGCAGCTCCAAAACCTCCAGCTCCAGCGCCACCAGCGCCAGTACCTCCAGCAGCTCCAGAACCTCCAGCGCCAGCACCCTCAGCAGCTCCAGAACCTCCAGCTCCAGCGCCCTCAGCAGCTCCAGAACCTCCAGCAGAAACAACTCCAGTGGCAGAGTCACCAGCTCCAGCGCCTCCCGCAGCAGGGCCCCTGGCTCCAGCAGCTCGACCCTGACGGCCAGCGTACCACTCAAGCAGCTGCTGTGGGGAGAGAGGGAGTCGACGACGAGAGTGCAGCGGCG